CCACCAGGGGCTTTGACCCGGGGGTCGGGGGGGGGGAGCAGGCCCGGGGGGGGGGGCAAGGGAAGGGAAGCCCCTCCTGGTTCTGGCACCCCATCCGTCTGCTCGCCCCCCCCCCCCCCCCGCAGATGACGCGCACAGCGACAAGGCCAAAGAGAGCATCCGGGCAAAGTGCGCCCAGTACCTGGACCGGGCGGAGAAGCTGAAGGACTATTTGCGGAACAAGAGCAAGCAGAGCAAGAAGCCGGTCAAGGAGGCCCAGAATGACAGCAAGGGGTAAGGGCCGGAGGAGGAGGGGGCATCCCCAGGAAGGGGGGGGGGTGCTGCCTGTGCCAAAGCCGGCTGGAGAGGAGCCTGCGAGGAGCCTTTGCTCACGGCCTGCTCTTCCTCTGCAGCAGTGACAGCGACAGCGAGGGTGAGAACCCGGAGAAGAAGAAGCTGCAAGAGCAGCTGATGGGTAAGCCTGCCCCACTCCCCCCAGGGGGGGCTCAGAGGCCGCTCTGCTCCGCCCGAGTGCTCAGCTCAGGTCTCGGGGGCAAACTGCTGTGGCTGCAGGTGCCGTTGTGATGGAGAAGCCCAACGTGCGATGGAGCGACGTAGCGGGCCTGGAGGGGGCCAAGGAGGCCCTGAAGGAAGCCGTCATCCTGCCCATCAAGTTTCCTCACCTGTTTACAGGTGAGGCCAGGGGGGTCTCTCTCCACGTTCTCCTTGATGTTTTGGGATGAATTAAGCCGTTTCCTCTCCTCTCTCTGTCAGGTAAGCGTACACCCTGGCGTGGGATCCTCCTCTTCGGCCCCCCAGGAACCGGGAAGTCCTTCCTGGCCAAAGCAGTGGCCACCGAGGCCGGCAACTCCACCTTCTTCTCCATCTCGTCTTCAGACCTGGTGTCCAAGTGGCTGGGGGAGAGTGAAAAGTAGGTGGGGAGGGCAGGGCTTGCTCTGTGGGGTATTGGCCCTTGGAGAATGGGGCCAGGAGTGAAAGGAGGCAGCGTGGTGGGAGCTTGCTTCCACTGGGGGAAGCCTGCACGCGGGCTGTCCTGGCCCTCTCCTCACTCTGCCTGGCTTCCTCTTTAGGCTGGTGAAGAACCTCTTTGAGTTGGCCAGGCAGCACAAGCCGTCCATCATTTTCATCGATGAGGTGGACTCTCTGTGCGGCTCCCGGAACGAGAATGAGAGCGAAGCTGCTCGCAGGATCAAAACAGAATTCCTGGTGCAAATGCAGGGTGGGTGATGTTCTCAGGCCAATGGCCAGGGCTGAGCAGGCGGGTCCGGGAGTGGGGGGCCTGCTCTCTCCAGAAGGGGTGACTCGGAACACTTCTCTTTTTCGTCAGGCGTTGGGAATAATAACGACGGCACTTTGGTCTTGGGCGCCACCAATATCCCCTGGGTACTGGATGCTGCCATTCGGAGGAGGTGGGTGATAGGCCTGCACGCGTGGGTGAGTTTAGCCTGGCAGAAATCAAGTAATCCGTTTTATTTGCTACTACAAATAATCACAAGAACAACCTGAAACCGACTTGACGTTGGACTGAAGGCTTTTCACTAACCTCTTGGCCAAATGCAGTGAGCTGAAACTGCCCCAGAGAAGAGGGGTTGCTGCCAGCTCACACCCCAAGGCCTTAATGGGCAGGAGGGCGAGCGACAGGTGCCCTTGGGGGCACTCCCATGCCACGCCACCCAGCTTTGGAGATTGACCCCTGCATTCCTCCGCACGTAGGTTTGAGAAACGCATTTACATCCCGCTTCCAGAGGAGCCGGCTCGTGCCCAGATGTTTAAGCTGCACCTGGGCAACACCCCACACAACCTGGCCGACGCTGACGTTTACGAACTGGCCCGAAAGACGGATGGCTACTCGGGGGCCGATATTAGCATCATTGTGCGGGATGCCCTGATGCAGCCCGTCCGCAAAGTGCAGTCAGCCACACACTTTAAAAAGGTGAGCCTGGCAGTGTGTTTGTGTGTGTGTGTGTAACTAGGGTGTCCTGATGGCTTCTGGTACAGAGCAGAGCACTTTAGCTGTGAAAGGAACGAGCTCCCTGCCCACCTTTCTTCATGCAGGGCTCACCCGTTGCTGACCAACCCGCAACTGTTCTTTTTTACATCCATTTCTTTCTGTGGGGAGGGTTACCCAACACAGCAGGAACTGTTCCCGTCATTCAGTGGGAGCAATGGGACGCCGAGATCGGAGTGTTGAAGGCCTTTGTGGCCTGGCAGGAGACTTCCAAGACTGGTTCTCTCCCTCCTGCCCTCTTGGACTGCTGTTACCGGAGAGCAGGTGGCGACTGAGGGGAGGCTCGTCTGCCGGCCCCTTCCCCTCCTTTCCCAGCCCTCCTGGTCGCCTACCGCTTGTATCCTTGCTGCAGGTTCACGGACCTTCTCGCACCAACCCTGGTGTGCTGGTAGATGACCTGCTGACTCCTTGTTCACCAGGGGACCCTGGGGGCCTTGAGATGACCTGGATGGAGGTGCCCGGGGACAAACTCCTGGAGCCGCTGGTCTGCATGGTGAGCAGTTGTGAGAAAACCCCTTTCCTCCCCCCCCCTCCCCCCCCCGGCAACTGAGTAGTAGGAAAAATAGCTTCTGCCAGGTTGGATTCGAAGTTGGCACTACCATTCTTAGGTCTTAGGCCAAACTCTGAAACAACACACCCAGGGCTTGTGTGGAATGTGGGTCTGCAAAGCGGGACTGAGCACAAAGCTAAGCGGGGGTATAAAGCCTCCGTCCCTTCCCCCTTGTGTTGAAGGGAATACGGCCGAGATTTAATTTATTAGATTTATTAATTTTGGATTAATAATGGGTAATAATTAATAATATTAATGCCGGACCCTCGGGGGCTCTGAACATTCCCTCTCTTTGCAGTCAGATATGCTGCGCTCGCTGGCCACCACCCGCCCCACGGTCAACGCGGAAGACCTCCTGAAGGTGAAGAAGTTCACAGATGACTTTGGCCAAGAGGGCTAATGCTGCACCTGTGGGACATGCCCCATTGTTAGGTGGGAGCAGCCAAGGGCCCGTTTTCCTGGCCGTGCGTGGAAGTGGCTGGGAGCGGCTGGTGGACTCTGCCATGCAGAAGCTTCGGTCTCCACCTGTCTCCGCTGGAGGATCTCTGGCTGGGGATGGAAAGGGATCCACTGGGGTATTAAGGGACAAGAGCAAGCCTGACTTGATCTGCTGTGTTTTTCCCCTCCCGTGTCAAAATACTGCAGATTTCTGGTTTTTTTCTTTTATTTCCGATGCTTAGTTTCTCTTTATCAAAAATAAAAGCAGCCCAACTCCCTTATGCTCCCAGCCATTTCCTCCCCCCCACCCCCGTGAGTACACTTCTGTTCCCCAAAGAAAAGCCAGGGGTTCTCCCAGAGGCCTCTTTCATTCCCCGGTGCTGCCGCGCCTCACCTCAGCTTCACTTGAGGAAAGGGCATTATTTCGCCAAACCTCTGTGATGCCATTTTATTGGGTTCTGGTATGTTTTTTGCCGATGTTCAGTTTCTGTCCAGTCCGAACTCCTTTGGCTCCCACAGCGACTTCCCTTCCAGCCTTTGGTGAAGGTCCTCAGCTGTTGCTTTGCTTCGGGGCCCATGCTTGATGTAGCTTCAGACTGCAGGCCTCCTTTGCAGCCCTGCAGTTCCACCTGCCTGCCAGATTCCTTTGCAAAGGAGAGGAATGGTGACTTGGCTCCCATTGACAGGACACAGGCGGCGTTCCCTGCGGGAGACCCCGGACTAGTCCCAAGGAAGCTGCTCTGCAACCTTTGGCCAAGTAGAGTTGCCTTCTATGAGCAGAGCTGAACAGGCAGAGGCAGAATGATAGGTGCGCACGCACACATCCAGGCCCATTGCTTTTACTGGGAGAATTTGTGCCAGAGGGAGAGGCAAGTCCTCCACCGGTGGTGTTAAGAGAAGCTGCCTTGTGCTTAAGGGGGCTGAAGGGCCACTTTCCCACAACCTGTAGTGATGGGTTTTAAAGTGATGGGTTGTATGGAGAGAGAGAGAGCTTGTGGAAGAATAAAATGCTGGAAATGAAGCCTTACAACATTCTGTTCTTTAGCCGAGTTTTCACATAAATAACGGGTAACATTCACAGCAAGTTCAGGTCCTGCGAGGGAGCAGAGAGAGGCTGGGCTGCTGCTTTTAGCTCCCTCCCCGGCTTGAAGGAAGGGAGGTGCTCATCGGTTGACCTTGGCCCAATGCAAGCAGCTGAACGTCCCGCTCTCCATCTTGTCCACGTAGAGGATCCCTTTGATGTGGTCCATCTCGTGCTGAACGACGCGGGCTGCGAAGCCCCTGGCTTGCCACGTGGTCTCCTCTCCAGCCTCGTTTAGTCCTGGGGGAAGGGAGAAAAAGCACCCAGCGGGGCCTCAGGTGGGATCCGGGGGCGAGCAAGCGCTTCTTCCCCCGCGGCCGCCTGGCCTCTCCCCCGCCTCACCTGAGACCTCCACGGCCATGTGCCGGGCGACCACGGCCGAGAAGCCGGGCAGGCTGGCGCAACCCTCCGTGAAGAAGCTGGCCCGGCTGTCCAGCACCCTCATGGTCGGGTTGAGGAAGACGCGCAGCGGGAAGGGGGCGACCTCCAGGGCGCGCAGCCCCTCCGGCAGCTCCTGCCGCAGCGGCGGCCCCCGGAACTCGGCCACGAAGACCTGCAGCGGGACGCCCAGCTGGGGCGCGCTCAGCCCCACGCAGTCCTCCTTCCGCATCACCGCCACCAGCCGCGCGATCAGCCGCTGCACCTCCGCGCTGCCCACCCGCTCCGGCTCCACCGGCGCCGCCACGCCGCGCAGCACCGGGTCGCCCACCAGGCAGACGCGCTGGAAGGGCGGCTGGCTCGGGCCCAGCAGCTTCCGCCGCAGCCAGGCGCCGGGCTCTCCCCAGGGCCACCCCGAGGAGGCGAGGCCGCGCGGCCGCCCAGGCACCGGCCCGGCGCGGAGAACAGCCCGCAAGCCGCCACTCCAGCTCCGCGCCGCCATCAGCCCGCTCGGAGGGCAGAAGAGCGCCCCCAACGGCAGGAACGCTCCTTTGCCGAGCTCCCCCGCCTCCAACGGAGCCCGCAGAGGACAGCAGGGGCGGGGGGGAGGAAGTGAAAAGATCGGACAGCGCAAGCGCAGACGGCCCCGCGCTCCAGCCCCTCCCCCTGGGAAGCCCCTCCCCCAGCTTTGGGAGGGGTAAAGGCGCCTCCCACCCACAATAAAATACCTTTGGGGGAGAAAGCAAAAGACCAACTTTATTTCCAGTTCTTCTCTTACATCTGCCCCCCCCCCCAACCTCTTCCTTCTTGTCCAGGTAGGGCGCCAGAAAGAGCCCCTGCAGCCAAGCGCAGCCCTTGCCTGGCCAGGGCCCAAGGATGCTCCTTCAGCAGATGAGCCCCCAAAGCCCCACCAGCTATCCTGTTGCAGAGACCCCACTGAGCAGCCGCGAGTCCTCTGGAAGGGGGCTCTTCTCTGCAGCTGGGAGGACAGAGACGGCAGGGCTAGGATCGGCTTCCTCCTGCTCCGAGCCAGAGAGTCCCAAGTCCAGGGGAAGTTGTAGGGCCAGTCCCTTCTCAGCCAGGGGGAGAGCAGTTTCGTTCTTGGGAAGGACTGAGCCCAGGAGCTCCTGGATGGCCTCCTCATCCACACAGGCCACACCTCCATATTTATGGACCTGAGCAGCAGGAACACCTAGCAGGACAGGAAACAAACGCACAGATGGGAAACCAGGCCCTTCCATCAATCCCAAGTCCCAGAGAAGGCTCCTCTCTATGCTTTCCAAGTCTGTGATCCCTCCCTCCTGGGCACCCATGCACGTAACTCCCTGATAGGCCAATTGTCCCAAAGCCTCTTTTTCCTAAAGGTAATTAGACCTTCTTGATGTACACAGAAAACACCGAGTCCAGTAGCCTTTTTGTAAAAAGCACCTTTGGGGCAACCTCCATGGTGGAAAATCTCAGTAGACCCAGGGCCAAGCCTGGCTCCAAAGAGCACGTTGGCTCCACTTCCACCAGCTTCCTCCTCCTACCACTCCCTGCGAGGAAGGTAACTGACCCAGAGTCTGTGCAACCTGGGCTAGAGGGAAGAGGAGCTGGAGACAGCGGTTGAGGTATGGCACCAAGTCTCCCAGGAACGCTGTGCAGAACTGAACAAACAGCTCTTGCTCTTGACCGCTGAATGCTGCCGCCTCTGCCCGATGGAAAGCCAGGATGATCTTTACGCCCTGGGGAGAGAAAAGACTCCTTAGAAGCCTTTGGCTCGGAAATTCAGAGCAGCCGGAGGGAAATTTCCCACTAAAAACCCCCATCATAAATTATCCAACCAGGCAGGTAGAATAGTACTCCCCGCAGGCAGCGCGTGGCATACCTAGACAGAATCCGCCAGCCACCAAGAGCCTATGAGATTCTGAGGAGCTCAGCTTAAAATGGGAGGAATGCATTCCAGCTTCTGGAATCGCCATTAAAATAATTACCCTCATCACTGAGAAATACGGAATATTTCCCCCCGTCTAAGATAGAGAGCCGTACCTGGCTGAGCACGTTCTCCAGGAGAGCCGCCACGACTGTGGCCAGAGCGACAGGACAGCAGAGACGCAAATCATTGAAGGCCACCAGGATGTTGTTGAGCAAATGGGCAAGGGGGGGAAAGTCTAGTAGCACCAGAGGGGGCTGCAAGGTGCCTGGTTGGGCAGAAGGCATTGGCACAGAAACGGCACTGCCCAAGAGAGCCGGCGTAGAGATCAATGTGTAGGAGTTCATCTCTTTTTGGAACTGGTCTGTGGCCTCCTGCATAGCTTTTTTGAAGGTAATGAGCACCACGCGCTGAAAAACGGGAACCAGCTGGCCCCGGAAGTCTGCCCCTACCCGGCTGAAGGACAGGCCAAAATACATGCACTGGCCCAGCAAAGAGTCAAGGCGATTGCCCACTCCACGCTGCAAGTCTCGCTCAAGAACCAGCAGAAACTGGGAGACTTTCTGCAGCACCCACCCATGGAAGATGGCACTCTCATTGAAGGTGTCCTTCCCCAGGGGCGGCACCAGCGGCTCTTCGTCTGCAAATATGGCACGATACTGCGTGACAATGTCGAAGAGATGCACGCGGCAGGCTTCTATCGTTTTTGTGATGTGCACATAGGGGTCATCATCAGGAACAGCTGCAAGGATAGAGCGCAGCCAGAAGTCTCTTGCTTGCAGGAACGTAATGCGCAGTTCAGCCTCTGTGAACACATCCATGCAGCGCAGGTAGCCAATGACACGCAAACAAGCGGGCAGCTGGATGTTGGTGCGTAACTGCTGGATCAGTTGAGTAAGCATGAGCTGTGTGGACTGACGCACCTCGGCCACTATACCCTGGGAAGGAAAGGAAAGCTGTCCTTAGTGGGGCAGACGCTCTGAAAATGGATTCCCAACATACGAGAAGTATTCCCCATTTCTAACTGTGGATCCCACATGGCCCTTCGGACACATTGTAGTAATGCTCCCACAGACATGCTCTGGCAATGACAGTCGCCTGAAACATCTATGCTGAGATGTAGTATGTTTGAGCAACTGCATATACACCACAGTCACGTAACAAAAGGCACCTGATCCTAAATCACCCCAAATTTCTGAGTATAAAAGCAACCAGTGTTTTACAAATCAAAAGCAAAGCCATAAAGCCTCAACACTTTTGCTTTGCCTTCTCCCTCCTCTGAGCTGGAGTTCTGCTTCAAGGCTAAGGCCGTGTCCTCTCCTGCTGAAGAGGAGAACGAAGCCTTTGCCGCAAAGTCCTCAAGTCAGCTTCACAGGGAGCCTGCAAGTTCAAAGCGCCTCCCGCACCTGAATTACGGGGATGCCGGCGTGCTTCTTCTCCAGGCGGCGGACGTAGGAGACGAGCTCCAGCGCCTCCTCGTAGTAGCTGTTCCGGACACAGGTGTCCATCAGCTGCGGGATCTCCAGCACCTCCAGGATCTCCGTGTGCCGGTTCAGCGTCACGTTGTTCATCCGGCGGTTCTGCGCGATCTGCTCCGCGTGGCGCATGAAGCCCCTGCGGGAGAAGACGGCGAGTCAGCGGGGAGGAGCTGGCCCGCCCCCCCCCCCGCCTCCCTCCGGCCGGGACGCGGCGACTCACCGGCAGGCCTCGGCGAAGGGCGGCAGGCGGTCCAGCAGGCGGCCCAGGCTTTGCTCGATGCCGCCGAAGCCGCGGCGGGTCTCGGCGGTGCACTCGGCCGAGCGGATGAAGGTCTTGTAGTGCGCGAAGGCCAAGGCCCGCGTCTGCGCCCCCAGCTGCGCCCGCTCCTCCGCCAGCCGCCCGGGCTCCCGCCGCAGCGCCTCCAGGCCCAGCCCCGACAGCGCCGCCAGGTAGGTCGGCAGCTCCGCGTCCCCCGCCGGCACCGCTGAGGGCGACGCGCGGAACAGCCAGGCCAGCAGGCTCGCCTCCTCCACGTCCGCGGCGCCGCCCGGGGCCGCCGCTTCCGAGGCCGCCATCGCGGAATCTACGTGGACCAGGAAGTGATCGCTATGGCAACCGGGGCGCTGGGCCCTTTCTCGGCACTTCCAGCTTCCGTTGCGACCACTCTATCCCGACATCCTCTATAGTCCGTGAAGCGAGCGCGGATTGGATGATCCTGCATGAAAACAACTTCCGGCCCTGGGAGCCGCTTCCGGGCCCGGCCAAACTTGCGGACCACGCGGCGCTCGGAGGGGCGATGCGGCCGCTGACGGAGGACGAGACCCGCGTCCTCTTCGAGAAGCTCGCCCGATAGTACGTGCCGGCGGAAAGCGGAGCCACCGGCTGGGCGGCCGGGCGGGGAGGGCTGGCCGAGGCTCCGGCGGGGACGGGAGGGGGGCTGCCTCGGCTGACTCCCTCTCTTCCCTCCTCAGCGTCGGCGAGAACATCCAGCTGCTGGTGGACCGGCCGGACGGCACCTACTGCTTCCGCCTGCACAAGGACCGCGTCTACTACCTCAGGTCGGCGGGGCCCGCGGAGGGGAGGGGGGCGCTCTCCCTTGCATGTCACCCTCAAACCCGGGTTGGAGGCGAAGCCTTTGTGCGTTTCGTGACCTCCAGCGGCTCCTCCAGGGTAGAAAGGTTGAGGAGCCCATGTCCCTCTAGCCCGGGCCCAAACGAATGGCTGACCCTCCGTTTGCCCCAGAGTGTTTGAGATTGGCCCACTAAAGCCTGTTCCTAGCTCCCCGGTGACTCTACTCCGCTTCGTTTTCCAGCGAGAGGCTTCTGAAACTGGCCACCAATATTCCACGGGACAGCCTGGTGTCCCTGGGCACCTGTTTTGGAAAGTTCACCAAGACCCAGAAATTCCGGCTCCATATCACCGCCCTGGATTACCTCGCCCCTTATGCCAAGGTAAAGATGGGCCGATGCTCATTTTATTTGAGAAGCATTTCTCTCTGTTGCCGTGCTCCAAAAAGAGGAAGGGAGGGGGCCAGAACGTCAACTGACTTGCCTTGGGAGAACAAATAACATTTTTACTGCAGCGGTCAGTCTAAGAGCAGTAAACCCTGGAAATGAAGCTGCGATAACAATTCAGTGTGTGTCTGGGGGGGGGGAGCTTGAAGAGGCCGTTCTGTCATGCAAGGAAGCACTTCTTGAAGCTTTAGAGTTCAGAAGGCTATTTTGTTTCTCTCCTGCAGTACAAAGTCTGGGTGAAGCCTGGGGCAGAGCAATCTTTCCTTTATGGGAACCATCTCTTGAAGTCCGGTCTGGGGCGCATCACTGAGAGCACTGCTCAGTACCAAGGAGTGGTGGTGTACTCTATGGCTGATGTTCCTCTGGTGAGTTGTGACTTAGGTTTGGGTGGGTCCCGATACAGAGAAGAGTTGTGTCATTCACTTTACCTTGTTTCCTGCAGGGATTTGGGGTGGCAGCCAAAACCACCCAGGAGTGCCGAAAAGTGGATCCCATGGCAATTGTAGTGTTTCACCAAGCAGACATAGGCGAGTACATACGGCACGAGGAGACACTGACTTAATGAACCGGGCTGATTTCCTCCCCGCGCTCTCTGGAAGCCGGACACCTTAAGAACTGCTGTGCTTTGGATTATGTCATCCCCTTTTTGGGTAACCTGGACAGACTGCTGATAGATGAAATACAATCGTTTCCCAGTCAGAAACGTTTAACATGTGACCAGTACCTACGCTTGCTAGTTGGACAACTTGTAAAACTTTGGGATAAAGCTACGACTCTTAGTCAAATTATTTGATGTTGTTATTTGATGTTGTTATTTGCATTGTTTTACTCACGTTGAGCTCTGGGAGCTGATAAAAATGCCATTTCTGTTATTTTTAGCACAGTGAATGCATTCGTTTCCTTTTACCTTATTAGCTGGGCGGTTACCTAGAAGATTGCATCTCAAGGCAAAGAAAATCTGCAAGGGGGAGAATTCTGGTTGCATGTCCCTGTTCTATTTGAATTATAAGCTGTCTCTTGTTACAGCATAATATATTTTTAAAATGCAAGTAATCTTTTATTTTAACATATTTAACGTGGGCTGGTTATGAGGAGGATGTTCTGCTTTGGAGCTTGGCATCGCATCCTACTGAAGCTTCAGCACTTGGGCTTGTTGTTGGGCTGCCTAGCAAAGAGGCTCTTGAGGAAATGGAGCTGAAGGATGCCAGAGAGCACAATGGCAACGCTCTGAGCTGCTGACCACCAGTTCATGTAGGTGCAGTTGGACTGGAGAAGGTTGAAATCTGTCCTTGACCTCATTCGAGCAAAGTTGAAGTAGCGCCACATGTGGAAGACATCGATAATCAGTTTGGTCGTGCTCTTCTGTTTTGGACAAGGAACAAAAAGTTCAGATTAAGTTCTTGGCACTCGTCTGCTCCTTTTAGAGGACAAGGACGCTCCCCCTTCCTCCACTGTGGTGCTATCTCTCATAAGCTGATGCACAAAGGAAGCTCTGGCCCCAAACACACTTGAGATGCCTGAGAAAAAATTTGGAATATCCCATAATGGATTTTCTAAATAGGTAATGAAGGTTGTTACCTGCTACCTTCATTCTAGGCACTTAAATTAGGTACCTCAATTGCTTCCAGAGTGCCATTGAGTTCCGTCCTCTTGAGCTCAGTAGTTTCTAGATCATAGAAGACCCCAAAGTTGAGATACACTTGCACAGTTCCAAAATGGTTGTATCGATTACTCAGACATAGCTGGTAGAAGCCTGTAAGGAGGGAGAATTACACCAAGCCTCAAGGACATTTCCTGTGATGCTGCCCGCCCTCAGCTGCATTGGGTAGGTGAGGTACAATGAATGGACCACCCACAAGGGCAGGAGGATGAAAGCTGTAACCATGGTTAAATCTGCTTCCCCATCTAAGCAAGGCTGTCAACCTTTCGTAGCAATTTCTTCGTTTTATCTCTAAAGCACAAAAATACTGAAACAGAAATTGGGGAAAGAGGTGAGATTGGAATCGGATTTGGTGATCAGCTCTCCTTAAGAATTAAAAAAAGGTTGTATAAACTAGGATTTCTGCATTAAAAAGCTATAGGGTGGACCCAAATGAGGCTCAAGCAGTATGTTGGAGCCACCAAGGGTGTGTGTGTGTGTGTGTGTGTGTGATACTTTCATGGAAGAATCTGCAATAGGAGTTCCAGACAGGCCTTTATGGAAGAGGTCTGGCAGATGCCATTCCTCAAGCCTGTGCTTGATGGCATTCTGGAAACTCCGGCTTCAGTGGTGGGCCTGTCCGTGCCTTGTGGCACCACAGAAAAGTGAGTCATTTAAAAAGCCATCTAGGCTTTGGGGCAGCGCCAACAATGGGGCACCTGTCTCCCGAGTCAGGAAGTTGATCTGTCCCCGGACATCTTGGGAGGTGTCGAGGTGGAGGCCATTGGGGTCGTTGACAGTTGCCAGGATGTGTCTGTCGTGGCCAAGGCCTGAAGTTCTCTGCACCTGGAAGGCAGAGAGACCCAAGTAACACCATGGAGGACGAACGACCCTCTTCCTCTGCAGGCCCCTCTTGCCCGCAAAGAGGGATCCAGGGGATTGCAAGGGGGGGGGGAGGCGCCACTTGTATGGCAGGGGGAGGAGTGCAGCATGGAAGCTCAGGTGCTGGGAACAGGTGGAGGGATTCCTCATGTGGGCAAAGTTTGGGTGGGTGGTGGGGAGATCCTCCCCCCCCCTTTGATGGGGTAGCACAAGAGGAGGCAGGATTGAGATCCAGGTGCTATGAACCTGCATCTCCCTGGCCTCTGCAAGTTGCTCCTGCTGCTTCCCAGCATATGATGACAGGCATCTCTGCAAGATTCACCCCACCGGACCCCTGCTTTGCCTGGGAAGAAGAGCCGGGTGTACAAGGGGCCCTCTCCTCCAAGGGTGGCCAGGTCCCTGCATTCCCCTGGGGGAGGGAGACAGATGCTGGGCAGAATCCAGCTGGAAGAATTCAGAGCGTTTCTGCTGCTCACATTGGGGGCTGCCAGGAGGGACTCTTCCTGCCCCACCCAACCCAGGTCAATTGGGAGGGGGGGGGGCTTCCCTCTTTGCCTCCCTCCCCATTGGCACCCACCTGATAGCTGAAGAAGAAGGAGCCATTGCGGTGTGCGAACTGCCAGAGGCATTCTATGCCCCCTGCAGGGATGACAATGGCAAAGTCATACCGGTCCCTCATGGGGGGGAGGGGCTGCTCGTGGGACCCTCCTGGCTGCTTCCACTCTTGACGGTGGGCGAGTTGGACCCCCTGAAGCAAACCCAGGAGCCCCACCATCTGGAACAGGGCAAGCATGTTAGCAAAGGGAGGCCAGCTGGCCGTGGAGGAACTGCAACCTTGCGGCTGAGCTAATCATTAACCCAGGTGCTCCTGCCCAACCGGTTGCCCTGGGTAGGCAGCTCAGGCGGGAGGGGCGAGAGGGACCCCTGGGGAAGCCGTGCAGCTGCCAGAGTGGAAAGGCTGCCTTCCTTCAAAGGGGGCTGGGCCGAGAGTGGATGGGCGCCTGTAGCTCCAGTCCTGGGCCAAGGGCTGGATTCCCGCAGCCCCTCGAGCACCTCAGGATGTAGGTGGCTGCTGGTTCTGGTTCTGAGGTCGGTGGGAGAGGGTAGGGGAGGGCTCTTAGCTGAAGGGTAGGCAGGGCAGATGGAGCTTCAAGAGGGCCAATCCATCAGGAAGGATGGCTCAGAAGCAGAAATTGCCAAGATGGCCTCATGCTTCGCTATATAGCTCATTTTAACATCTTATCTTTGCCTTCTATTTCTTCCTTCTCCCTTGGAAATAGAAAAATAACGTATCTGTATGTAAACTTCCCTGTCCTGAAGGACACTTCACTTCCCCAACAGCAATGTTTCCAAGGAATTCTGGCCGTATCATGGAAGAAAATATGGCTGACTTTATATATGTATTAAAGACAGAATAAACCCCTTTTCACTGGTGAAGGATCCTCTGCCTATAGCCAGATAAAGGCCAGACAACGAAAGGGGGCTGGTGCCCCATGCCACCCCAGGGACTTCCCCCATCTGGGCCCTCCGGCACCTTGTGGGAACATCAAGCACATTAACCAGGGCTCAGCCTTCCCTCCCACATCACACAAACAGCTTTTGCTGGAAGGCCCAGTTTATGTAGGTGCCACAGATATCGGCATATGTTGTGTTTTGACTTTTATTATCTTGCTTTGGTTATCTTGGTTTGCTGTTGTTTCTCTTACGATGCTTGATTTGCTGACTGCTATAAAACAAGCTGCCCTTACTGCAAATTACTCAATATAAATGCTTTATTTTTAATTTACATAACATCTTAGAAAACAACATATTAACATATTAACATATCAACATCTAATTCAACCCAAGGCATTCAGACAAGACCCAATTTTTTCATTGTCCGCCACCTGTCTTTAATCATCACTGCGGTGCGATCCTTAAAAGGGTAGCTTCGAGAAATGACCTTCCAGTTGCCTTCCCCAAACTTTTCCACGCCTTTCTTTATCCAGGCCGATTCCTCCTGGGTCCACTACAAAAGAAACAATGGAAACCTTCGTGAATAAGCAAGAACGGCAAACCTCATTTGCAGCTTAATTCTGCTGAAAATTAATTATAGAAAATGAACAAAAAAAGGTTCCCAGAAAACTCTATGTGCTCATAATAGTTTAAATTTTATATGGGCTGAAACACAACCTTAGTCTCCGTGGAGAGGAGAAGATGCAAGCTTGGCCAATTCTGAAGGAGGCTGAAACAGCTTGAAAGGATAGCAGAGCCCTCCCTCAGCAGCCATTCCCCACGTTCCTGCCCTATCAGTGGCAATAATTATCTAGATTGTCTAATTATTTTTAGAGGCAAGGAAGGAGCAATGAGCAATTTGTTTTATTTAAGAAAGTCTTTGTTTGGATTAGGTGACGTTACCTTCCTCTTGGACCCAGTGGTGTCGGTGCCAACTGACCCCTCGGATTCTGAAAGGGAAAGAAAAGGGGGGTGGGGGATGGGGAATCCACTCACAGAGGTTGGCAGGCACAAGTATTGCCTGGGAAATTTTTTCCTTTCTACCATACGCAGCCACAGTGCTTCTCCCTTCCTGGCTCAGACTTCGGATGGTTTTTGCCACGAAAACATGACATTGCACCAGAAACGCAAGTGGATAAAGATTCCCTTCTGGCTTACTGGCAAAGTTCAGAGCAATGATGCACTCACTATGATCCATGAACATATCTTCTTCGTCGCTCCAGTGTTCCTTGTCTTCTTGCAGAAGGGGAGGAGTGACTTGCTTGTTCTCCCTAAAGCAGAAAAGAAAGCCCCATTAGAGGTGAGGCCCTCCTGCCCCCTCCAGGGCCCTGGCAGCATCAGATACTTTCAGCCACAGGGGTGCACATCAGCAAACATCCAAGAAGAACGGGCACTCAGTGCCGATACTTCCGAGACTGCAGCTCTGCCACCTCTCCTAACAGAGACCCAAAGGGAGTCGTAATTCCATACCTGGAACCTTGGCACGGTGTACTTAAGGGGATCTCTTTCTGCTTGGATGGCTGGTCTTGCAAAGTCACAGGTGTCTTTGCAATCAACTTCCCGGATTTCTTGCGTTTTTCCTCTTTACTCAGCACGGTTTTGGCTATAGAGCGATGGTGTTGGATTTTCTCTCCGCTGAGGACAGTGGTGTCTCCCATCTTCTGGTGCTTAGCTCTGGGGGAGCTGGAAGGCAAGAGTGGCCTGGAGTAAGTCCAATCAGTCTTGTCCAATAGCAAGAATGCCTCCTCGGGGTCTGGGGCATCAGAAAGACTCTTGAAGGCTTCTCTCAGCACAGAAAGCACATAGAAAGCCGGCTTCAGGCTTGAGGCCCTACAAAACACAGCAACCTCAGAAGCATATTTGGAAGCCCTGCCAATTTCTATCCAGCTCATGGGCCTCTCTAGATGAGGCCACTGATATGCCTCCTTCACCAGGGGAAAACTAAAATGCCCAAAAAAGAGAGCAAAGACAACGATCCAATCAAGGAAACATTTACTTGTCGAGTCACACAATCCTCTCTGGGAAAAACTGCTTGTCAGTCAGAGTAACTCCCTAAGTGCCATTTCATGCAGCCTGGAAGACCTATCAGCTACCAACTACCCAAAGCATCACAGTGACCCAAAGCAACCACAGTCACATCCATCCCCTCCTCCCTCGTTGCATCTGGTGGTATGTTGCACATACCTTCATCTCCCAACCAATGAATGGGAGCCCCACACACAGGCAGGGCAAAGACTGAAAGGTAAAGGAATCCATGTGGATTTTACTCTGCAGGGAGGAAAGCCCAATGCAGTTATTAAGGAAACCGCCTTTTACGTGCCACATAATTCTCTCCTCTGTTGCAGGAGACAAGACGCAGCTGTTCAGTTGTAAAGATTTGATGCATTGCTTTACAGTTCTAATATGGTTTAAATCACACATACACACCCCAAATTAAAGACCTCCCCAATTTAAATGTTCACTTATATTTAGAAAGTTCCCTGAACAAACATGGTTGCTCTGACGTCCCTTTGCCTAATATCCGTAGTCCGCAGCCCTCGCTACACGGACTCCCATGCCAGAGAGGACTTACTGAGTGGAGTCATCGGAAGCTGCAGACACGGGGGCCATGGCATCAGGCTCTGCTGTCCCTGTTGCTCCTTCCACCTGTGGGGATGCTTTGGTGGGCTCACCGGCTGCCTCCAAGCACTCCATAACTTCATGTTCATCTGGTGGTGGCAAAGATTTTGCTGCTGCTTCTCCAGTTCCTGCTCCAGACTCCGGCCGTCCTCCTGCCTCACTGAGTTGTCCTGCTCCCTCTCCACTTCCTGTCCCAGAGGTCTCGGGGGCCTCTTGTTTCTCCTTGTCAGCTGCTCCTGCTGGGCTCTTCTTGGACTCCAGACGTTCATCGCAATACTTTTTTGCCATCTTAAACAAAAAGCACGAGTCACCAAGGGGGTCTTAATATGGTACAGAATCCAGACACAGACTGTAGTTGCTTTTCCCACACAAAACTATTACTGAAGAAACCTGAACTCCTATCGATCTTCATATAACTTTACAATTATTACTGTTCCTGTAGTAATGATCAAATCATTAAAGCCAAAGATGACCCCAAACCAACACTCACCACTAAGAGAAATGGCTCAGAATTATCCAAGTAAGGTTCAAAGAAGAGAAGAATCTGCTGCTGGAAAGCGTTGTAGGAGAACTGGCAGATGGCCGGGTGAGAAGAATTTTTCTCTTGGACGGCATGATGCAAAATATCTTTAATTTGCTAGCAAAGAAAAAGCAGCAGAGATCACATCTTTGCAAAGGCCTAGAAGGGAGAACTGACTGCCAATCCGCAATGCTCTTCATAGCCACGAATAGCAGTCAAATGCTTGCTCTCTTCTACCGCCTGGGAGAAGACAAGAGATCCTAGAAAGCCACTGGCTTTGTGAGGAAAGGAAGGATGTGTCACTGGGACATATCCAAAATGTTCACCTTGCGGTTGTGGTCCTGCGACATGTGTTCCCTTAAGATTTTGCTGGCATGTTCAAATTCTTTGTTCCTAATACATGTGATCACAGCCTGAAGCAGAAAAATAAAAATACAAGCACACCTTTTGCAGCTTTCTAAACAAAGTTTTCTGAAAATATCTTATATGCCCCCCTCCACCCTAGCTAAACCCTTTCTCCAATTCCAAAGTCCATAATGGAAACCAAGTGGCGATTGGGCCCATGGCAGCTGCCCTGCTTCCGTTTTAGGAGTCTTGCCCTCCACATCCAAGGGCTGCCCCTTTGGGTTTTCACTACTTGGCCTTCAACATGTGAGAGCAACTGGCCCTCCTACTCGTCTCTCAAAGTACATGAATGTTGTGGCTATTATATCCATACAGAGCAAGTCAGGGACATTTGTAAATATAGTTAACAGTCAGTTTTGAATTGGAAAAAAGGGACAAGTTGGTCTTTTAGTGGGGTACTATATTCCTTCAAAAATACCCCCCCCATGTGGCCCCCTCTTCCTGCTTAAAAAGTGTGGCCACCGTCACCACTGAAATTAGTGTGGACAGGAGATGAAAGAGTCACCCTTACAGCTTCCTTTATTCTTCTCTTTATTTCCTCCGTTATTTCCACACTGATGAGGCGTTCCTCTGCAAGCCTCTCTAGAAGGACAAGCACGTCTTCAAGAGGAGTTAGCTCAGTTTCTGAATTAATGTTCCAATCTAGAGAGAGAGGGAGAGAGAAGGCTTGCTACTTTTAAACTAGGATATCTTGGTGCAGATTCATATACCCAGCCATTTGCAAGGATAAATGGAATGTACATTTTAGAAGTTTCAGTTTCAGTTTCGGTTTCTTTGTATGCCGCCCTTCTCCACGAGGGACTCAGGGCGGGGAAATGGAAGATAAACAACACTACACATAATTAAAATACACGAAAATCACACAGCCACACCAGTCGAGAGGGGAGGGGAACTCATCGACCCCAGGCCTAGAAGTACAGTACACATCCACAAGGGTTGTCCTCACTGTTTACTATGCCACTCCTCTGCTGAGTTACTACAGCCTCTGTTCCTCCACTATTAAGGTACTTCTCTTTGTGACTCCTATTTGAAGGAAGTTATCACCCAGCCCGGCACCAGCAGCCCAGGCGGCGGCCCTCCCGGCGGCGGTCCGTCCCTCGGGGAGCCCTCGGTTGCGGCGCTTTGGCCTTAGCCTGAGACCGGAGCGGCCCCGGGGACGGGCGAAGGGGGCCCCCGCTCACCTTCCTCCAGCCTGGACAGGATCTGGATGATGCGCAGCTGGATCTGGATCGGCTCCTCCAGGGCCACCGGTCGCGCCAGGATGGCTGGGAAGAAGCAGAGGCGGTCAGGCGGCCGCAGGGAGGCCGGAGCCCGCTCGGACGTCTCCCCCCCCGGCGGCCGGCCTTCCCGCCCTCCCTCCCCCGCGACGGGCGTACCAGCGAGGACGTCGCGCAGCTCCCGAAAGTCCTGGCTGCTCCCGGCCCGGAAGGCCCGCAAGGCCTGGTGGGCGTAGAAGAGGACGGCGCAGCGGTTCGCCTCCGCCTCCATCGCCACCTGCGCCATTCAGCCGATGGGCGCCCGGAAGCGGAAGTGGGCTTTCTCCCGCGCGCCTCCCCCTATGGGACCACATCTCCCAGAGAGCTCCGCGGCGTGCTCTGGGGCGCAAGCGCAGTGAGCGCCTGAGTCCCCCGAGGGCGCCCGGTTCCCCCTGCTGGGCCGCGGCCGAGAGCAGCCGATGGCGGGAGACGCTGCCCGGGGACGGGCTGCCTGGGCCTCGCGGGCCTTTCTGAGCCTCGCTCCGGCCTGGGCCCTTCGGCACCCGAGCGGGACTCCCGCGGGGATGCTGGGGCCTCTTTGGCGTTGGCGCCTCCCGGGACTCTGGGTCGGGGGAGGGAGCGGCTCCCGCGGGCCCCGTCGCAGCCTCCCCCTTCCCTTCCGCAACGCCGGGCAAGCAGCGAGATTCAGGCGGCCGGAGGGGACGGGGGGGGGGCAGGGCGGTTTGGGCAATCGAGGGTCTCTGGGACGCTGGGGGGGGGGAAAGGGGGGGTCACGGTGGTCGGTTTCCGACATGTTGCTGCTTCAGGGCTCGGCAGGAGCTTTGCCTGCACCGCCCCTTGGCCCTCCGTGGCAGAGGGGCTGCATCCACAGGAGGCCTCCGAGGGCTGCTGGCAGTCAGCCTTAGCAGGGCGCAGCGTCCGCTCCCTCCCTCCCTGGCAATAAGGGCAATAGCAATAGCAGTTCGATTTATATACCGCTTCATAGGGCTTCCAGCCCTCTCTAAGCGGTTTACAGAGTCAGCATATC